GAAAACTGAGGCAAAGATATATTGAACAGTTTACAAAGGTAGTACTCAACAGATTTGATATATAATCAAGTTATTCAAACTGAAATCAAATGTTCTTTCCTTTAAACTATCAATTTTTTTTAGTGTTTTTTTTTTGCTTTTATGTCACAATTACAAACTATTCTGCTTCATGAGATTTCTCTTGTAACAAGGTAAATCAGTTAGATAATAATATAGTGACCTCATTTGAAAGTTCATGCCAAATTTCAAAATTTCACTACTTTTTATCCCTCTGTTAAAAAAAGAAACATAGAAAATTGTATTTTCTTTTTCTCCCTCCTCTCCATTTGGGGGGGGTGTGTGAGAATAAATATATTTTCTCTTCTTCAAAATTAATTAATTTGCTTGTTTGTAGTTTTTAACATTTACTTTTATAAGATTTTGAGTTCTAAATTCCCCCATCTTTCTCCTCCTCCCTCTCCAGGATGGTATACAATCTGATATGGGCTATACATGTACAATCATATTAAACACATTTCAACATTAGTCATATTGTGAAAGAAGAATCAGAACAGAAGGCAAAAACCACAAGAAAGAAAAAAAAGAACAAACAAAAAAAAAAGAATATAGTATGCTTTAATCTGCATTCAGACTTCATAGTTCTTTCTCTGGATGTAGATAGCATTTTTCTTCATGGGTTTTTTGGAATTGTCTTAGATCATTATGTAGCTGAGAAGAGCTAAGTCTATCAAAGTTAATCATTGCGTAATGTCGTGGTTACTGTGTATAATGTTCTCCTGGTTCTGCCCACTTCACTCAGTATCAGTTAATATAAGCCTTTACAGTTTTTTTTCCTGAAATCTGCTTGCTCATCATTTCTTATGGAACAATAGTAGAATAAACATATTTCTTGTGACAAATATGCATAGTTAAGCAAAACAAAGCTTCCAGTGGCTGAAAACAGAAATACATATTTCTCATTCTGTAACCTAAATCCATCACTTCTTTGAAATAAATAGCATATTTCATCATTAGTCTTCTGGAGTCATGAATGCTCATTGTATTGATCATATTTCTGGAAACCTTCAAAGTTATTTTTTATTTTCTTTTGGACAAATTGTTCTCGTAGTTCTACTCATTTCTTCTCTGCCAGTTTATCAAAGTCTTTAAATTTATTCATTTATGTAATATTCAGTATTATAACATAAGTTCTTCTGATTCTGCTCACTTCACTCTGCATTAGTTCATTTATCTTTCCATGTCTTTTTGAAATCATCTACTTCTTCATGTACTCCATCACATGCATATACCAAAATTTATTCAGTCATTTCTTAACCAGTGGGCATCTTCTTGGTTTCTAGTTTATAGTGAACAAAAAAGAGTTGTTGTTATTATTATAGTTATTATTATTATTATTTTACATATAAGATCTTCTCTTCTTTCTTCAATCTCTTTTGGGTTTAGGCCTACCAACAGTATAGCTGGGTCCAAAGACACATATACTACGTTATCTAAGGTCTCTTCATTCCCATTTGAATTCAAAGTTAGTCATTTAGCTTTTTTAAGTTGCTTCCTATGTGCCTTACATTATGCTGTGTTGAAAATTTAAAGAAAAAAAAATAACAGTCCACGTTTTCAAGGAGCTCCAAGTTTAATGGGGGAGATATCATACAGACATTTGGACAAATGAAATATACACAAGATAGATTAGGGGGACTAAGGAGGGCTGACAAAAGCTTGTTGCAAAAGTTGAGACTTAAAGGAAATTTAGAAAGTTAAGTGACAGAGGTGAGTAGATAGAGCATCCTAAGCATTAAGGATACTGGGAGAAACCTCTCATAGTTGGGAAATGGAGTATTGTGTGAGAGACACAATAAGGAGACCAGTGTCACTGGATCTCAAATTATATGGAGGAGAGAAATATGTAAGAAAACTGGAAATATGACATGATAAAATTAAAAGTATACCATCCTGAGCGTCATAGGACCTCTGTTTGTAAGTTACCTTTATTACCTGGAAAAAGGGATTTACTACTATAGCTCTCAATTTTTTCATCTGTAAAATAAGATCTTTGAGACTCCATCTCTCTCTTCATCGATAATACTGAGTCCACAAGCCTTTTAAATGAAGAAGAAAAAAAGACAAAGAAGAAAGGAAGAAAAGAAGAAAGAATAAAAAACAAGAAACAAGAAAAGAAGAAAAATCCTTGCCGTCACCTAATTTATAGTGGGTAATACTACCTATAAATAGAATCCTCGTGCTATAATGCCACTTATTTTCCTTCTGTTGTGAAATAAAATACTATGCTGATTATTTTGTTTGTTTTTAACCCACAACTTTATAATGTCTGCTATTGATGCTTTTATTGTCATTGTAGTTTGACTTATGGAAAACTATAAGTATCAAAACTAATCCCAAGGTCATACCTGGTCTCAGTCTTGAGGTGATCTCAAAAAGCATTCTAGTGGAAAGGACATTGCATTTGGGGTCAAAGTATCTGAGTTTAAACCCTTCCACTTACTAGAAGTTTCCTTAGGTTTGATCCACTAAGCCTCTTAAAAAAAAAAGTGAGGGCAGCTAGGTGGCATAATGGTTAGAGCACCAGCCCTGGAGTCAGGAGGACCTGAGTTCAAATCCTGCCTCAGAGACATAACACTTATTAGCTGTGTGACTCTGGGCAAGTCGCTTAACCCCATTGTCAAACAAAAACAAACAAAGAAACCAAAAAAAAAAAAAAAAGAAGGTTGGAGAAGTTGACCTTTTAAGGTCACCTCTTAGTATAAATCTATGATCCTTTTTGCAGGAACCTGGGGTGATTAAGTAATCTCTAAGGTCTATTGTATCTTTTGAGCTATGATTCTACTGTAAGTATATCATGTTTTTATTCCTGATCCTTTCTGGTTTGAAGACTGTCTCCATCCTCTACAGTATTTTCACACTCAAACTATCTCACAATGAAACGGGATATACAGGTATATTAAAGGTTCCCAAAAAGGAACCTAAACTCTTTGAACCATGATGGAGGACCTACAATGATTCCAGTAGCTATCAATACCATTGATTGGATAGATTTGGTATGAATGGATAGCATTGTCTCACATGCTGCACCAATGACTTACATTTTATTTTTGAGTTCAGGAGGAAACAAAGCAACAATTAGAAATGTTTTTTTTTTCCAACTTCCTAAGTTGGAAAAGAAAAAAATGGAGGAAAAAAAATAAGTATGTACCTTTATCTGTGAAACAGGAAATTCTGAGGTATCTGCATTTTCTTTAAACATTAGTCTTGCCTGGAGTATAGGGGCATAAATTGGTGTGGGGAGTAATCTTTCAATGATTGAGCTAAGTACATTTTGTGATGACACTGGAGATCACACAGGGCCTTCAAGTCCAAAGAGACCATATGTCAGTACATTAAAATATGCTAGTACAATCTGGGTGCTCTGAGCCCCATTCTTCAGAAACAACAGGAAAAAAAAAGAACTGTCTATTGAGCTATGAGCATAGAAGAAACATTCCATAATTGCTGTAAAAGTCAGTAGGGGCACAGAAAGTGATAGAACATCTGTGTTGGAGCTGAGAGAGCTTAAAAAACTTGCTTGGGCAGCAAGTGCTTTTTTGGTTGTTTGTTAGAACTGTTTGAGCTCATTATATAAACTCTGGGAATGAGAACGCATAATATGAAGTTTAGGCTGAGAACATCAGGAAGGACTTTTGGAAGGTCCATTTGTTTTTATAACTCAGTTCAAAGAATCACAGAACCTTAAAGTTAGAAAAAATCTCTGAGAACAGTTAATCTAATCCTTACCTGAAAAATAATTCCCTGTACAATGTATCTTACAATGGACCATCCAGGCTTTGATTAAAGAGCTCAAATGAGGAGTAACTCACTGTCTCCCAAGGCAGTCCATTCTGCCTGGGGGATAGCTAAAAATATCGTAAAGGTTTCGTTGACATCAAATGAAATCAATTGTTCTGTGGCATCTTCTCATTTGGTCTGTGATCCTGCCCTCTGGGGAAAAAATGGGGGAAAAATTAATGCCTTATTTTTGTAATAAGTCTTCAAATACACTTGACAAAAAGGCAAGCCATGTCGGTCTCATTCCTTCTTACCAATTTTGTCTAAACATATACATTTCTTTAAACTGTCCTTTATGTGACATGATTTTATTTCTCTTCTCCATCCTATCAACTTTTTACCTAATCAATAAACTCTAAAGTTACTGATCAGCAACTATTAACAAGTACTATTAAGTAAAGGAAGTATAACTCCTCAACTCATAAATCAAACTTCTTACATGTTCTTCATAAAATTGGTCATATACTAAGCATTCAATAAATATTTGGTGGATTAAATTCAATATCATAAATTTGATAGTTCATTAAAAAAAGAATGCTTTGGATTATCATTGGTATCACTATACACTTTGCTAAAATATACTAAAATCAACAATGTAATACTAATTTAACATTTCAAGTGACGTTATATTCCTGAATTACCTTTTATTGTATTACATACAAGAAATATAGGTTTCTTAATTTACTGAAGTAATTATATATTATTGGATAACAAACTTTTGTATTTATGAAGCATACCATACTAGAACAGTTGTTACAGTATTGATTAGAACTTGTCAAAAATTAGAATGATATATCATACTTAGATATCAAAGTTATTTTATGTTATTAAGTACAGCATATCTATTTGAGTAAAAATTTTCTAATTAAGAAATATGAGACTTTTGAAATTCATTTTCAGAAATATTAAGCACTTACTACTTGCTACTATGATGCAGTTAGATGATACAGTGAATCGAGTGCTACACCTAAATTTAGGAAGACCTAAGTTCAAATCCAGCCTCAGATATTTCTAATTGTGTGACCCTTAGGAAGTCACTTAACCTATCTATGCCTCAGTTTCTTCACCTGTTAATAAAGGATAATATTAGTACCTCTCTCCTGGGGTTATTGTGAGGATAAAACAAGACATTTAGAAAGTGATATGCAGATCTCCGGTCCCCCATGGCCTCGCCGAACCGCGACCCGGCCGCTGCCAGTGCCGCTGCCGCTGCCGTTACGGGGGCCGAGCCTGGGGCAAGCGCTGCCCGCCGGTCCGTGGGCAAGAGGTTACAGAAGGAATTGATGACCCTAATGATGTCTGGAGACAAAGGAATTTCTGCCTTCCCAGAGTCACACAATCTCTTCAAGTGGTTTGGGACCATCCATGGGGCAGCTGGGACAGTATATGAAGACCTAAGGTACAAACTCTCCTTGGAATTCCCCAGTGGCTACCCATATAATGCTCCCACTGTGAAATTTGTCACACCTTGTTACCATCCTAATGTGGACACCCAAGGCAGTATCTGTTTGGACTTCCTCAAGGACAAGTGGTCAGCTCTGTATGATGTCAGGACCATCCGGCTATATATCCAGAGCCTGATGGGAGAACCCAACATTGACAGCCCATTGAACACACATGCTGCTGAACTTTGGGCAAACCCCACAGCCTTTAAAAATTACCTGCTGGAAACCTACGTGAAGCAGGTAACTAGCCAAGAGCCCTGACCCTGATTGCCAGCCTACCTTTCTTCATCTTGTGTGTATGTGTATGTGTGTGTGTCTATCTTTTTCCTTTCCTCATAACCTGTCTTCTCCTCTTTTCTGTACAGGCCTCTGTTTCATAGACTGTTTTCCTTTTCTTTTTTTTTTTCTTAAACTCTTGTCCAGCCCTCAACATTAATGTATAAATAAGTAAAGTTTTGTTGTTTTTTTCCTAAAGTGATATGCAAACCTAAAAACTCTACATGCTTGCTGTTTTTGTTTTTGTTGTTGTTATGTATAAAGCACATGTTAAGTTCTGAGGACATAAAAGATATATATGTATATATTATATATATTATATATGTGTGTGTACATATGTACATATATATGACAAAATGATCAAAGACAATTTTGAAGGACTCAATGAAAGATGATATCCACCTCCAGAGAAAGAACTGATGAAGTCTGAGTACAAACTGAAATGTATTTTTTTCACTTTTTAATTTTTCTTGCTTGTAGTGACATGACTAATATAGAAGTATGTTTTGCATTATTTCACATGTATAATTGATATCATTGCTTGACTTCTCAGTTGGTGAAGGAGGGGCTGCAGGAAGGGAGAGTATTTTTAACTCAGAAAAAAAGAATGTCAAAAATAAGTTCTCAATAATTAAAAAAAAAGAAAAAGAAAACTAAGAATTCTTTGAGACAGAGGAAAGGAGAGATGCATTTCAACTATAGAGAATCATTTATACCAAGTCACAGAATCATGGAATGGAATGTTTTGTAGAGAGAATAGTTGGGTAACTGTCCAGTGGGCCTGTAACAGAATACATGAAGTAAAATTGTGTGCATGCATGCATGCCTGTATGTGTGCATGTATGTATTTATATGTTATAATTATATAGGTATGTAGATTTTTCAGTTGTTTTTCAGACATGTCCAACTCTCAATGACCCCATTTGGCATTTTCTTGGCAGATCCTGGAGTGGTTCGCCATTTCCTTCTTCAGGTCATTTTAGAGATGAGGAAACTGAGGTCAATACGGTTAAGTGACTTACCCAGGGTCACATAGCTAGTAAGTGTTTAAGACAAGATTTTAACTCAGGAATATAATCTTCCTGACTCCAAGACCAGCACTCTATCCACTGCACCACCTAGCTGCCTCATGTATATAGATAGATACATATAGAGATAGAATCATATGTATAGATACATAATTATACAATACACATACATACACATTCATATACATACATGTGTGTGTTTATATCCCCTAGATATATCCTAGAGCCAAAAATAGTCACTTGAAGATTTTTGAGTTTGAGGAAATAGGTGACATGATCAGATTGGTGTTTTCATTAGAGAGAGAGAGAGAGAGAGAGAGAGAGAGAGAGAGAGAGAGATTACACAAATATAAGCACACATGTTGTGTATGTGTATATATTTCAAAGTACATACTGTGCAGAGTTTGTACAAGAGAGATGAGTTACTAGAGGTAAGGAGAATAAGTAAGAAGCTATTATAAGCATCCAGGAAGGAGATGAAAAGTGCCTGAACTATGATAGAAGCTGGGTGAATAGAATGAAGGGTTTGTGTGTGAGAGTTACTTTTGAGGTATGTTCAAGATCTGGCAATTGATTCCACGTAGAGAATAGAGAGAAAAGGAAGAGTCAGAGATGACTCTGATTGTCAGTCTCGGTGACTGGTTCATGGTGCCACCAGGAAATGGAAAGGTTGGAGAAGGAATAGCATCTGTTTTGATCATGTTGAATTTGAGGTGCTGATGGGGTATGTGAGTGGAGAGATTGTGTAGGCAGTTATAGAGTCAGAATGTAGGAGAGAGACAAAGGTTGAAAATATAGATTCAAAGGTATTATTCATGAAGATAATTATTGATTGATGAGATTATCAATGTAAATAATGTAGTTAAAGAAGAGAAGATAGTTTTTCCACCAAGTAGGGAAGAGGAGAAAAAGGATTCAACAGACTTAGCTGAGAAAAAAAGAAAGCAGTCAGACAAGTAGAAAGAAGACCAGGAAAGAACAATGTCTTGAAGACTGAAGGAGGAAAGAATGTCCAGGAAGAGTGAAAAAATTGTCAAAATTTAAGAGGTCAAGTAAGATAAAGACCAAGAAGATCATGGATTAGTGATTATTTTCGTTGGTGAACTGGAAAGAACTGTTTTAGTTGAACCTGATTTCAAGGGATTGAGAAGTAAGGCAGAGGTGAGAATATTGAATCGAGGCACATGAGCCAACCTTTGCCATAGTTTGTCTGTGAGAGAGAAAAGAAACAAGAGGATAATAGTTTAAGGGAATGGCAAGGTTAAGTGAAGATTTATCAATACAAGGGGAGCTCTTTCCCTCCCTACTAATACAAACCACAATTTCTACAGGACAATAGTTGGTGTGACAAAGAAATTAATAAACCTTTATACAACATGATTATGATTATGATCCAGAATACTTTGACTGGTCTTCACAAAACAAGTCACAATTGTCCATCATTTTCCCCAGACTAGAAATCTTTCTATCTGAATAGGAATGGACAGTGTTTGTGTTCCATTGGTGTAGCTTTGAGAAGCCAAGGTTACCTTCGTGATGGAGGTATGGCAATCATAATGAAGAATGGCAATAATAACATAAGTAATATCAACAAATTGTATTTTTAGTAATTATTCTGATATTTAATTTTCTCCCTATCTTTTTTGTTTTTTTAATTAACTTTCAATTATTTCTTCATTTTCAAAATTCTATTACTCCTTTAAAATGCTTTTTACTACTAAGCACACCAAATAGTGACAAATTACTTCAAATATGATATCAATACAAAATCATTACTAGGTAATAGAAGATATTATATTGTTATATTTCTGTATACATATATATATTATCTCATCCCATATAATTAAAGGTCCTCGAAGACAAAGATTGTTTAAATTACATATTTTTATGCCTCATGCCTAGTGTAGTGACTAATATCTAGTGAATATTTAATAAATGTTTGTTGACTAATTGTTTTGTTATTTGAATCTATTTTTGCATGAATAGAAAAATAGATTTGGACTCAGAAAGACTTGGGCTCAAATTCCACCTCATAAATTTTCTATTGTGAGATCACATTAAAAATAATTTTACCTCTTAAAATCAGTTTTCTCATCTATATAAAATATACAATAATTATATTATATACCTCTCAGTTATTGGGGGGTTCAAGTGGGATAATAAAAAAAGGCATTGCTAACTTAAAAATGAGTAATTGTGGATTTGTAGCAAATAAATTATCATCATCTCCATTGTTGTCATCGTCATTTTCCCCCAAAGAACCCAAGGGAATTGTTCTGCCTGGATTTCCCATGTCACAGTTGGGATGGTCTTCAAAAATGCCTACAGTAATCTTCAGGAAATCTTTCTGCCCACACAGGGTAGATGATCTAGGAGGTGGTATAGCACCTAGTCAACGAACTAGATAGGAAATCTATGAGGCACAGGAAGACAGGAGAATATCTGGGTCAGAGTTGTTCTAGACTCTCAGAGAGTGAGTGTGCTTTCAGTTGTCTTACCCTGACTGGACAATTTCCTGATATCCTTTAAGATAAAAGATATTCAAAGTTGTTTGTTTTTATACTGATATTGTGATTGTATAAAATATTCATGATTTCAGAGGACTGATGATGAATGGTGTTATGTATTAAAGAGATGTGACAGAATTAGGGTGCAGAATGAGCCACATATAGTTTTTGTATACATTCATTGAGGGAATTTGTCTTGCTTGACTATGTATATTTCTTAGCAGAAATTTGCTTTTCTTCCCCTCCATCCAGTGAGGGGGAGAAATGTTAAGAGAAAATAGATTTATGTCAATTAAAAAAAAAAAACTATGTGTGGGGGGAAGAGGTGCGTTAGAGATGTGAACTGTCTCATGCACATTCGTATGAAGTCACTGTTTTTGTTACAAGACACCTCTGATAAAATGGGAGCAAGATGTAATTTTTGGGGGGTCCTTTGATACAAGTAATGCTACCAGATCAAAGTACCCTCTGGTGATCTCCTCCTGTCTTAGGATTGTTTGGTGTGACAAAGAGAATTCATTCATCTTCCCATACATTAAGTCAATGAGGATTTATTAAACACTGGTGACTCTGGGCAAGTCACATAGTCTGTTAGGATTCCAAGGCAACTCTGAGTTTAAAGATTTAAAGTTTAAAGACTGAGTTTAAAAGGAGGTACAGTCCTGCATTGTTAATGGGAGTTACCTCACCTGAGATTTTCCTACATCAATGAATTCATAGATTCAGTTCTCATGGAATCCCAATCTCTACATTTCAGATATTGTATTAGGTCCCGTGGACTCCCATGCATTCACATGCACATATACACATACAGTCAAATTAGCATTCATTATGCAGCTACTATGTTCCTGGCACTGTGCTAAATACTGGGTATACAAAGAAATGTAAAAGGCAGTCCCGGCTTTCAAAAAGCTCACAATCTAAGCAGGGAGACAACGTGTGGATAATTATTTAAGAACAAGCTATATAGAGGATAATTTGTAAATAAACATGCATCACAACTACTTCCACTACCAACAACCAAAAAAATACCCCCAAATATACCTTTTCCTGCCCTCAAGGAATTTAACTTTTAGAAATGAGGGGGAGAGCATGTATTTTGATAAGCGATACAAAACACATAAAAAAGTAAATATCAAGTCTTTTTTTGGTGGAGAAAGACACTGGGAGCTTTGTGGAGCAAAGGCAGGAGGTATCAGGAAAGGACCTATGGAAAAGGTAGTACTAGAGCAAAACCTTCATGGTAGCTATTCTTAGTGAACAAAGAGAGGTGGGAATGGTACCATGAAGAGGGGACAGCATGTGCAATGGTGTGGAAGCAAGCAGTAAAAACCAGAAGTGATGGAAAAGAAGCCCTTCCTTGGGTCTCAGAAATGTATGTCCCTCCACCATGGAGAGAGATCAACTTGTTTACCTGGTGTGAATTCTAAGGGAAATTCTCAAGGTGAAA